AAAAAAAAGGGGCAAAATATTTATAATACATTGAAAGGTGAGAAGATGGGTTATAAAACAGTATTCTAATATGGCCCAATTGTGTAAAATAAAATACTTACGATTTTTTAAGTGTATTTTTAAAAACTAGGAGAATACACTTAAAATGATCTCAATTTTGTAAATTAACAGGAGCAGTATACTCCAAAAGCTTGCTTCTAAGAACTAGGATTATGGATTGATTTTGCACCCTTCCTTTTGCTTTTCCTTCCCCCCACCACCATTATTTTGTATAATAATGAGCATTTATCACTTTCATGGTCAGGAGAAAAACTACATATGTGTCTGTGTGGGGGGGGGGGGGGGGGTGCACGTGTGCATAGATCCATAGGTAGATAGATAGAGATATAAAATATACACACATGTACATATATGAGGTGGCAGTTCTGAGTTAAGTTTGAGATATAGTAAACCTTGAGATTCCCTCATTGTCAGTCCAATAATATATAAACCAAAAGGACAAACTAGTAATTTATATCAGGGACTCTTCCTTTCCAGTAACGGGAATGCGTGTGTCTTCTATCCAGGGCACTAGTTTCCAGGTTATCTAGGTACCTAAAAAGCCTAACTCATTACCAGCAAGCAATTTGGTAAGCACAGAATATGAATCAAGGGCCCGGATGACCCTAAACGGCAGTTCCTTGTCTGCTTGTTCCCTGTACCTGCTGTGTCCCCAGAGCTTAGCACAGTGCCGGGCACAAAATCGATGCTCCAGAAACATCTGTTGAATGAAAGCCTATTTCATTCCAGCCATGTGGAAGCCAGAAGAAATATCCCCATTTTCTCACAGAGTAGATGTTCAAATGAGCAAATAACTAGTATCCCTCAGATCCAATATCTCTCTTCTCTCAAAAAAATTTGACAAATTCTGACAGATTCTCATGCCCTGAATCCCATAAAAGTTAGTATTTTATAAGCCCCAGAAAAAAAATTTATTTCAAAATATAAGGATAGGAAAAACTCCATCTCCTCTAAGGAATTAGCAGGATTCTTCCTTTCTGATAATGAAAACGATGTCACTGAGCATATCTACCTTTTTTCTTTGGCTGCCAGGAAGCTCAGAGAAACATGTAGACCTCAACTAGAATGATTATATTGGTCCTTATGGATTATGACTTTGGGTTTTCTTTTCCCAGATCTTGACTTTTGTCTCTATGTTCCCTGGGCCTGATTCATATTTTTATGTCACCTTATTACTTGAATTTTTGTTGCACACCATCTCAAATCCTTCGAAGGATTTTGGAATAAAGGAATATAGCATCGTCATGTACTGATGTTGTCATATTTCCATTTTGCAGAGCAGCCACCTCACCATAGAATCCTCTGATTGTCTAAAGAAGAAAAACCAAGTAGCAATTTGTTCCAGGTTCATATACTGTACCTTTCCTTTTAAATACATTCTGTGATTTTCTCTAAGTCATATTAACTTCAAAATTGCTGAAAAGAAAATAAAGCTGATAACTTGATAGTGCAACCTCAGGTTTGGTTTGCATGTTTAATTTTAGAACTCACTTTTCAGTGACATCCGTTCAGTCTTGAAACCTCAGTCATTTGCTGACCTTAATTCTCAGGATATCAGATGAAGTCAGCATTACCTAAGGGAAGGACATCCGTAAAACAAATTTGCATGTGCCTGGTAACATACAGGTATAGAATACTAAATTTATTTGTTTGAAAAAAAATGGAAAGTTTTCTGACCCACTTTAAATCAGTGTTTCAGTAAAAAGCTAGTGAGAAACCCACCTAAGGAAGACAGTTGGTTTCCATGAGGTTAGTAGTTATTACTCAAAGGAGAAATTGACATGCTAATATGATGTGGTTGATTGCGGATTTTAATGTAGGGATTGGGGAAACGGTGATAGATTGCGGTTGTTTTAAGATGACGTGATGTGGTGTGTCTTCCTTCTTGCACAGCTTGATCTCTTACACAGCTTCCAGGCATTATCTCAGTGCTCCAGGGCTGGGGAAGATGTGTAAGAGCTAGCCCCGCTCACCCAAATGATAAAGGCATTACGCAGTATTTGGAAGTCACGACGAACAGAAAGCCTTTCAATCAAATATCTCACATGAATAACGTAATGTCTGTTCAACGTTCTTTTGACCATAGAGATTAGATTTGTTTTTAAAAGATGACCAAACAGTTTTGTGATCTGATTCCATCATATAAAAATATTCTAATCGGGACTAGGAAGGGGCAGCATCAAAAACCAATAATAGAAGAAAAAAAATTAGTTACTCAAAGGAGCTGTTCACAGAAGGTCTTCATCAGGGAAGAACAACCCACCAAGAGTTACAAGGACCAATGGTGAAAAAAAAGAATCCAAATGTTGAAAAAGGATTCTGTCTCTTGTCTCTCAGCCCTCACCAGCCCATTAACACCTTGTTTCCCCATCTTCATTTTAAAGCAAGGGTTGGTGTATCAAAGGATAGCACGCAGGCTGGATTCCGTCGGCGTAGGATGCAGGCACAGGGAGAACAACTGGAGTCAGCTTTGCCCCCTTGGCCATCAACCAAAAGAACTGGCAGCAAAGACATTCTCTTCCACCTTATCCTTGCCAGAAATCAACAAGCAGGGAATTCTCCACACCATGGTGGTCCAAAATAGGTCACAACCTTGTCACACTGCTTTCAAAAGGATCAGGATGGAGAGTCAAGGTGTTAGATGGCTCAGTATGGCCATTGGAATGCAATTGGCTCCCCCCAAAAATATTCAAGATTCTCAACTATCCAAATAGCATTATTCATACTGTCAATCAGCCAAATATTGATCACTAACTATTTACTAGATATTATGGTAGGTGATATGAAGACTAATGAGATGGCTACCTGTATCTAGGTAGCTTGCACTCTAGCAGGAAAATCAAATATGTAAACAAATGATATACAATATGCTAGAAATATGCGTGAACGGCTGTGTACCAAAGAGAAACCAGCAACACAAAAGCAGTCTGTGAAGACCTGTGTTGTATAAAGCTCAACATTAGTACCCTGGGACTTACAAAGATGAATAACACACTGGCCTTGAAAGCCTACAGTAAAATCTAAAACCAGAAATGGATATATGTCTTAAACATAGTTTCCAGTCAAATAAAAGACAGTACAAAATGAAGCAAAAGTTACTAGACAGGTAGGTATAAGCTATGTCTTATGGGAGCTGTTCATTCCAGCTAAGGTAATCAAGAGAGACTTCCACACCTAGAAGACACACTTGAACCGGATTTAGAAGGACAAGTAGCGTTTTGAAAAACCAAGGATGGGGAAGGGTATTTCAGAGAGAATACCTTAACAAAAGCCGTGTATGCATTGGAAGGACAATCGGGACCCCATAAGTCCAGGTCATGGAGCATGATGGGACGTGAAGCTAGAAAGATTGCAGATCTCAAATACTAACTCAAATACTAGATCACATGCTAAGGGGTTTGCATTTTGTTATATATGCAAGGTAATGGGACAAGAAAAGGCACAATCAGAGCCATGCTTTAAGGATCATTATCGCAGGAATGTTGAAGAGGGTGGAAGGCGGCAACTGGGAAAAGCAAAGGTGGCTATTAAAACAGTCCAAGTGGCTGAGAGTCTAAGTTAAAGGAATGGCAATAGGTCAGGGAATAGGGAATAGATGTGAGAGGCACAGCAGCTTCTGAGATTGCTACCTGACCAGACGTAAAGGAGGGACAGGAGAGCTCACAGTGACTCTGTGTCTTTATGGGTAGATGGTGATGTCAACACCAGAACTAGGAAAGTCAGGAGAAGCTGCTCCCTACCTCCTCTTCTGTCTGTATCTGCTTCACCTATCAAGGTCATCTACCATCACCACTGAGATTCAGCTGCTCATGGCCTCCCTCACTGATCAATCAGGGTCGATCTAGCCAGGAAAACAGAAGTCACTTCAGGCATTTGCAACAGAGGAAATTTAGTGGAAGGAACTGGTTACCATTGTAATTGAGATTGGCATCAGCAAGAAGCTACTACCAAGACTGGAGGGACAAAGAGAGCAAGCTGCGCTCCAGAAGAGAGGGTGGGGAGACCCTTTATTCTCGCTCTCTTTCCTTCTCCCCACTCCAACTCTTCTGCCCTCCAATTTCCCTTTGGCTGAATCCACCTGACGAAGGAGTCTAAGAGAGCCACCTGCAGGGTCAGTCTTCTGAGATACAGAGTAGAGCAGGACAAGAAGGAATGGAGGCCCAAGATCCAGCAAACTTCTTATGCACCCCAACTGTTGAGTCAGAAGTGCTGGTCAGCCTCCTTGCGTTACCGTTTAATGTGAGAAACCAGCTGAGAGGACCTGAGAGCCATTATCCACCTCACTGGGGAGAGGGTCAGAGAGAGGCTGACATGTAGCCAGCCACATCTCTATCCACTGACCCCTCATCTTTATCAGCCTGTGGTAGTCCTCCATGTTCCTGAGGAGGAACTCTTCTCAAGGACCTGAAATCAAAGTTCGTCTCAATTAGAGAGTAGAGGAAAGGAAGGAGAGAACCATTCCTTCCTCCCTTTCCTTCTTATCCCTCCTCATTCCTCCTCTTTCTTCTTGTCCTTATCACCCTCTACTCTCTGTTGTCCTCATTTTCTCTACCTCCATCACCATTCTTCAGTCTCCAATTCAGTTTTCATTTCCTTCCTTTGCCTGGCTACCTCTCCTCAATTCTTCATCTCCATCTCATTCCTCTTAAAGAACTGCATGAGTTGACAAGCTGCTTGGTAACATGTAGTTTTAAACATGCCTTTAACAGTAAATATTGCATCTCTTGAACCTAGTTATTAGTTCCTTGAGCAGAGTAGGCATTCAACAAAGCAAGTGTTAATTCAATGAAATAATATGTCCTGTCATCATTAAATTATGATGCCGTTCCCATTTTCCTTCAGAAGCAGATATTACACGTCACAAAGGGGAGGTTCTTCTCTGACCTCATTTGGGGATGGAACTTTTAACTAAAATGGTGTCACCCCTAAAACCACTCCGACACGCCAACGTAAGTGACCACAGAAGAAGTAAAGTCCTATAAAAAGGGAGAAGATAGCGCTATACTTCAGCATCTCACAACAGGCAAGAGCTCATCCATCTCCAGTTAATCAGGAGAAACTACAATGGCTCCTCTGAGAACTTCATCCGTGGTGAGTCCTGCACTAAAGTGCAATGCTCTTGTTGATTTGGACCAGCTAATGTTTCTGGGCTGCGGGCATGAAATTCTGGATTCTAACTATGGAGATTCAAGAATACTGTATACATAGGATAGCAAATGAAATCTTTGGTAGTAGATACTTGTCATGGTATAGCATTTTCACGAACTGACATACATCAGTCTGAAAGTTAAGATTAAAACTGAAAGATAGCTATACTGAGGCTAAACCGCACAAGAAACATCACATGATGCTGTGCAGTAGGAAGGAATGCTTATTGAAAATCTGGTTTTCTGAGTACAAGGGATTTAATATAATTCTCCCACAGCATTTTTCTTTAATCCAAAGTAAGATGGATCACTCTCCTTGAGGATTTAATAATTTGTGGCAGTGACTTTTCTTTCCATCATCCTATTACTATACCATAGTCTTGGTAGACCAAACCTATTTATTCTAAGTAGGTACATGTGTAACTGTGGTTAAGAGTAAATAGTTTTTATATTTTTAAAATATTTAACTTAAAGCATCTTTTTGAAACCCAATTTGATTACAGAATCAATATATGCAAATTTAGGAAAACCGGAAAATATACCTAAGAAAACATAAGGGGGCTCCGGTTTGGGGTTGGATGTTTGCAAATGGTACCAACAGCATTGCTAACACTAAAACTGAAACCACATGGATTTTCTCCAGCTCCTCCTTCTAAGGTGCACATTTGCCTGCACCTAGGGTTTCATAGAACACTAGGACAGAGAACAATGGCGCAGGAGGACGTTTTCTCCCAGAAAATCAAAGTCATTATTATTCCAGTGACCTGACAATGATGCATATACTGACAGGATGATGGGTTGCCATATTTACTAAAATTACTGCCAGCCAGTGAATAATGTGTCTTTCCTCAGTCAAATGAAGACTATTCAAGACTGGTGAAAACTCAATGGTCTTAACATTATTTTGAACTGGCCAGTTTTTCATTTAATGGATCTGAAAATTCAATATAGATTGTTCTGGAACATAGTATGTTCTCTATGGTTAGCAATACAATCATCATCACTATTTGTTAACAAAATCCCATGCTAATCCAATCTCCCCCCTCTCTCTCCTTGCCCATTCAGTTCCAGTCACTGCTGCTGCTGCTGAGTCTGGTGGCTATCGTGAAGGCGGGAATAGTAATCCCACAAAATCCGGAATGCCCGAACACTGGGGACAAGAACTTCCCTCAGAATGTGAAGATCAACCTAAACGTCCTTAACCGGAAAACGAATTCCAGAAGGGCCTCAGATTACCACAACCGCTCCACCTCCCCTTGGAATCTCCAGTACGTAAGGGCCCCAGACAAAATCTCTGTATTCGTCTACCTTTTGTGCACCGCATTGTCAGTTAAGTCACCTTGAGGATGATTTTACTGATTCAGAATCATCAGTCAAGCCTGGAAGGGCCATTGTGCAAAACAATGATTCTCAAGCTTTCCTTCTACAGACTTCTTTGATAGGACACAGGACAGCCCCCAACCCTGCTCCACTCCATAACACCTATCCTATTAGATCTCGTTGTCACTGACACCAAAAACTCACCCAGATTAATGTTGGTCATCATTCTAATATTTATGATACCACGAGTCTATTTTTTTTTTTTTTTTAAAAAGACATTTATCATAGGAGGTTAATGCTTGAATTCTTTTTACCAGAGCTACCATTGAAATAACTAGCAATCAACTGGGATCTTTCCGCCTTTTCTTTTTTGGTCATATTAGCACTGGGAAAATACAACTTGAATCCCAGCAGAGAAAGTGTCATGTTGGATATTTCCATCCCATTTTGAGTTAGATAGTCTTGATCTACATTCCCAACAGACCTGCATTTGCCGTGTCCCTAGTGCATCTACTATTTAGACCCCATGAAGAATTAAATACAAAATGTGTTTTGATAAGTTGATTTTATGCAAAGAAAGCCTCAGTTCTGTGGAGCCTACAAATTCACAGACTGTGGGGTTTCTTCTCCTCTTCCCATAAGTAAGAATAGTTCAAATAAATCAATTTAAAAGTCAACTGAAATCACTCACTCAGCTGGAGGAGAGAGAGAAGAGAAGGTTCTAGAGGGGCTTAGCTTTTGTATCCAGCCCTTCATATCAGCTCTGGGCTCTGTCCCAAGAATGTGCTGTCAGTTAGGATTTTGAAGCATTCCCTGTTTCAAAGGCAGACTTCATTAAGTCAGATTAACAGCTCTCTTATTCGCAGATGACTCCCTTGGTCTTTTTCCATCTACATACTCTAAAAAAATTACCATTTGTGTCAAACTTAAATCCTTTCTATAGTCTCAGTCTATCTTATTTTGTTCATTCTTCAAAGAAATTGGGAAAAAACAGATTATTGTCTTTTTTTCTATAACACTTCGTGTGCTTAAAAATCCAAGTTTTCTGCAAACTGCTTCCTTTTCAGACTAACAGCCCTTAGAGACTTCGAAATGTCTGTAATTTGTCACTCTGCATATTTGCCTCCCTTCGTTTACTCCTGTCTCATTGCCTTCCTGCTTCGACCAGGAATTCACCTTCTTCCTGGCTTTTGTCTCCCCTACAGCCGCAACGAGGACCCTGAGAGATACCCCTCTGTGATCTGGGAGGCGAAGTGCCGCCACCTGGGCTGTGTCAATGCCGAAGGGAAGGTAGACTTCCACATGAACTCCGTCCCCATCCAGCAAGAGATCCTGGTCCTGCGCAGGGAATCTCAGAACTGCCCCCACTCCTTCCAGCTGGAGAAGATGCTGGTGGCCGTGGGCTGCACCTGCGTCACCCCCATTGTCCGCCACATGGGTTAAGAGCTTCGGGTCTGACCCCAGCTCCCCAAAGCAGTTAGGCTTTCTGGGGAGTAGACCCAGCCCCATTTCTGACCAAACTCAGGGGGCTTCTTAAACTAATTGAAGTTTCAGCTGAAGTTTCAGAGGTAACACTTTGGTTCAGAGATAGAATCAGAATCTTCTTTCCCTTTCCCCAAGGAGGAAGTTTAGACTCAGCACCAATTTGCTTCTTGTTTGCTTTTCTAAGGGTTTTAAGTTATTTATGTATTTAAGAGGCCCTGAAATCACTTTGGGGCATAAGATTCCATTTTAATGTATTGCATGCCTTATTTTGTATTTTTTTAAGACAAGATTCCAGACTTAGGAATTTTATTATTTAAAAGGTAAAACCTATATTTATATGAGTTATTTATGGATCTATTTATATTTCTTAAGTCTTTAGAAAAAGTGAAATAGTATGATTATCTATTCTGCCTAGGGTAATCCTAGATAGGATTAAATAGAGGTTGAAAATTTCTGAGTTTGTACTACCTATGGATATAAGATTTTCTCCTCTTTGTCTCTGAGGAGTACATGACATGGCTGAAAAGAAAGACTAGACGTATGTCTTATCTATTAACTTAATTTTGTGAATTGTGGAGGTTTCACAAGAGAGACAAGTCTAACTCTCTGCTCTGTTAAACCATTGTAAGAAAAATAATATGTAATAATAAAGTTTGGAAAGAAAATTTATTTCCTTATTTTTTCTCATTAAAAGTAGTTCAGGGGCCGGCCGGTGGTGCAGCCGTTAAGTGCGCATGTTCCACTTCAGCACCCGGGTTCTCCTGTTCGGATCCCAGGTGCGGACATGGCACCACATGGCACGCCATGCCTGGTAGGCTTCCCACATATAAAGTAGAGGAAGATGGGCTCGGATGTTCGCTCAGGGCCAGTCTTCCTCAGCAAAAAGAGGAGGATTGGCAGCAGATGTTAGCTCAGGGCTAATCTTCCTCAAAACGAAAAAAATAATAATAAAGCATTATATGTTAACAAAACTTTAAAAAAAAAAAGTACTTCAGCGAGCTCAGCTTTCCCCTCTTTGGAAGAGGATGCAAATTCGCTGACAGAGCCATACAAGGCCTGCCTTTGAGTAACACCCTCCACCCACTCCAAGTCCAAGTTTTCAGTTTTACATGACTTCAGGACAGTAGAGCACAGAGGCTCTCATCCTATCAGCCAATGCTGTGGGCATAAGCATTCCAAAATGAATCAATCAAATAAAAATAATGGCCCTGGGAAAATGGCATGTCATTATAAAGATCATGCAGGGAAAAGAAAAGACTGTCCCAAAATATGACCGGAGGTTTGACAGGGAGGAGGAAGTGCTGGGAGAAGACATTATCTTCAGACTAGAGTGTCCAGACTCTCTCCAAATGCAGGCTCCTTTTGAAGATTAATGCGAACCAGAGATGGAGAGAGGACATTTTTTTCTTCCTCAGGCCACACCCCCAGGATGCTTCCCCTGCTCTGGCTCTGATCCAGTGCACCCCAAGACATAGAAAAGAGCCAGTGGGGCAAAGCAAACTTGAGTATGAGAAAAGCTCAGCCCAAGTAAGACAAAAACTGAATCACATTCAATTCCAGAGTAGTTTCAAGTTTCGCATCGTAACCATTTTCCCCCACCACGGCCCAGCCTGCTGTTTTGCCCTACTTCTAGAGGCCCCTGGAAATTCTCAGGCCAGTCCCCAGGCTCCCTGCTTATTGAAAGACCATCTTCTGCACTCCCTCATTCTCCTGTAGGCTCCAGCCCACACAGAGGCTCATGGCTTTTCTCTGCTTCTTTTCCAATTCCAAACCCAGAAGTTGACTTCTCCAGTCCCCTTCCTTTCAGCGTCATTTTGTGCATTACATCTTGATGCTCATGGCCATCTCTTGTCATGATCTTCACATAAGAGATCCCTAGGGAGCTGCCACTGAGAGTTTCTCACAGCCCTTATGCTTTACAACCTCTCACTAAAATCCTGCTGCTCGTTGTCCAGTTTTCCCTGAATGGCGGTGGTGAAAATAAAAATTTCTTTTTGTTTTGGGATGGAGGGCAAGAAAGGGGCCTATCTATCCACAGTCCTGAACCATTATTTCCCTCTGGGTTGTATTTTTGAGAATTTTGTGGGTGGAAAGAGGCCGTTGCCTTCCACGTCTTCCCTCCCTTGCTATGTGCTGCTTTTACTCCATCTTCATTTTCCCCAGTTACCACCATGATCCACCCAGTCATCTAGTCTAGAAATCTGTGAGGCATCCCTGCCTCTTCCCTCTTCCTCTCCCTCACTCCTAAGACCCGCACATCCCCAAACTCATTAACCAGCACTTCAGGAAATGACCCCCTCCGTGCCCAGGTCCAAGACTTCATCTGTTCTCATTTCTCTCCTCAGTTATTGCAACAGCTCCTGTCCTCCTCTATCCATCCTCCAGCATCTATCTATGGCACAGAATCAGACATGACAAAACACACCCTCAGTAATCTAGCCACGTGCCTCCTCCTGCTTTATCTCATCCTGCTTCCTCCTTCAAGTTTCGCCTGTAGTCATAGCAAAGTTGTTGTGACCACAAAGCTGTTCTTGACTTCAATGCCTGTGTCATGTGGTCCCCGTTACCTTGAATGCCTTTACCTTGAATACCCTGAATACCTCCCCTCCTGTTATGCCATTCATACGCTGCTGTTATGATCTGAATGCTTGTGTCCCCTTAAAATTCATATGTTGAAACTCAATCCCCAAAGTAATGGGATTAGGAGGTGGGGCCATCGGGAGGGGATTAGGTCATGAGGACAGAGCCTTCCTTAATGGGATTAGTGCCCTTGTTAAAGAGACCCAGAGAGCGCCCTCGCTCCTTCTGCCATGTGAGGAGACAACGAGAAGTCTTCAACCCGGAAGAGCGCCCTCACTCAAACATGTTGGTGCCTTAATCTTGGACTTCCAGCCTCCGGAGCTGTAAGAAATAAATTTCTGTTGTTTATAAGCCACACAGTCTGTGGTATTCTGCTATAGCAGCCCCAACAGAATAAGGCACCTGTCCTGCCCACCTCACCCACCCTCACTGCTCTACTCTTGCTTAGGGAGCATTTTCTCTAAAGAGCCTTCCAGACCCCATCACTCCAGTAATCCCGGATTAGGTCCCTCTCTTTTGGGCTCCACGAGCACTGTGGGAATCGTTTATCACTACTCTTACAGTGTATTGACTTTATCTATTTAACCAGTTTGTGGTCCCTTTCAAGCCAGACTATCAGCACCTGACCTGTCACATCGCAGACAGTCAATATTAAAGTAAACTTTGAACCAATGGTCCACAGACACCTCAAAGTCAACAGAGACAAAACTAAACTCACTAGCTCTGCTCCCAAACTAGTTTAACCTACTGGTTTTTTTATCTACTCAAATGACATCATGTACTCACCCCAGCGAGAAACTTAGATTTCTCTCTGTAACTCATTACCTCATCGAATCAGTGACAAACACCTCATGAGTTCTCTTATGTCTTCTCCCTCCCCATCTCCAGAGTTACTGTTCAAGCTGCAATGTAACATGGTGCTAACTGGTCTCTTTGCTTTGCTTCCCATAGTTTATAATTCAATGTCTCTCAAATATCCGGGGGAGTCTGGTCAGAGGAGGTAATTAAGAGCTGCTGCAACCAACAAAGCTCAAATAAACAACGATTTATTTCTTAATCCGCAGGGAGCTTCGCTCCACTCAGACATTCAGGGACCCAGGCTGACTGAGGTTCTGCGTTCTTGTAGCAGCACCGTCTAGAACTGCACAGTCTAACCCAGTAGCCACTAAGCACGTGTGGCTATGGAGCACTTGAAATGTGGCTAGTCCCAACTGAGTTGTGTTGTAGGTGTCAAATACATTCTGATCTCAAAGAATTTTTGTCATCGTTATTTTTCAGAGTAATTATTTGCAAGAGTTCAATTATTAGTTGTTAGGGTCATAATTTTAACGTGCAGCTCACACAGAGAGGGTGCTATCAGTACACTTCTCATGCATTTTTCCTGGGTACAAAGGATGAGCTGTCTTATTACAGACTCAACAAGATATAAGATACAAGGGGGAGTGTGAAAAAATATCCTTAATATTTTGAGGGGGTTGGGGCAATGGAACACTGAAATGCTTGTTTTTCATTCTGGCTCCTCAGTTCTGGGGATTCTAATATTTTCTCTTTTTTTTAATTGACATGTAACATTGCATTAATTTTAGGTGGACAACATAATGATTCGATAAATGTATATATTGCAAAATGCTTACCACAATAAATTTAGTTAACATTCATCATCACACATAGTTACAACTGTTTCTCCTTGTGATGAAAACGTTCAAGATCTACTCTGTAAGCAACTTTCAAATATACAATACAGTATTGACTATAGTTACCAAGCTGTACATCCCAGGACTTGTTTATAACTAGAATTTTGTACCTTTTGAACACTTTCATCCATTTCAATATTTTTTTAAATGTAAAATGTCTTGTTAATTTTTATATTGATAAATGTTTAAATGATCATGTTTTAGATATTGTGGGTTAAATATATTATTGAAATTCAATCTATTAGAAATTCACCTGTCTCTGTTTACTTTTTTTAATATGGAAACTAGAAATTTCAAATTAAAATGTGGCCAGCATCACATTTCTGTAAGACATGTAGCCATTGAAAGCAAAGAGAAGGCTGAAAGCTATACGTGCAGGTTTTAAGGGCCAAACTCATTGGTCAGAACCCAGTCACACAGACCCACATTAACACCATGAAGACTGGGAAACGTAGCATTTCTTCACATCCAAAAAAAGGAAAAGGAAATGGGATTTCATAAGCACATGACATTATCTCTGCCACAGGACATATGAATGAAGGCTCATGCATGACGTACTCCCACAATTACACAATTCCAAATGGCTGAGCTGTTACATGGCCACTTTCTGGTGTAAGAAAACCTAAGTTGCACTTGAAAGTAATGTAACAGGAATACCCTTGAATCTACTCTAAGTTTTTTTTGAGGAAGATTATCCCTGAGCTGACATCCGCTGCCAATCCTCTTCTTTTTGCTGAGGAAGCTTGGCCCTGAGCTAACATCCATGCCCATCTTCCTCCACTTTATGTTGGATGCCTGCCACAGCATGGCTTGATAAGCAGTGCGTAGGTCCACACCCAGGATCCGAACGAGCGAACCCTGGGCCATCGAAGAGGAACATGTGAAATTAATTGCTACACCACTGGCCCGGCCCCTACTCTACTTTTTAAAAAAATATTCTTTACAAATATTCTTTACACACATTCTTTAAAAATATTCTTTACAAATTTTGGCATTTTAAAATACTACAAAACAAAGAACTCACTTGTGACATCCCTTACAACCAACTGGAGAACATTTGTGTTTATGATCATGCAACAATCATCGCTCTGTTCCATCACTCTCTGTGTTTCAAGAGTGTTCTGTCTAAAATGCAAACCTGATCACACAATTCCCCTGATCACTCCTCAGTAACTCCCCCATGCCTTAGGACAAAGTGCTAACTCTCTTGAATGACATAAAAGCGACTCCATGACCTGGCCCAGCCCACCTCTCATGGTGCTCAAACCACATTATCCCTCTCCACCACTAGCACTTGA